CGTGGCCGGCCGGGCGGGCGGGACGAGCGCCGGGCGTCCACCCAACGACACCGCTGAAGCAGGAAGCCGCGGCGACTCTCCGCGAAGACTGTCCAGGCTGACATTTTAGAACTTTTGGCTTCCAGACTTTTTCCTAAACAGATCTTTCATTATTTATCATGATGTGATGACTTTTTTCATACTGTCTTTTTAATCATACAGGTATTCCCTCCTTATTTTCCATACAGATGAATTCATTTCCTCATTCGTTTACTGCAATAAAAACTGCATTAGGCACATAACACAGGGTGGTACTATGTGGGATGCTGGAGATGTAACAAGCACAGTTCCTATTCACACAGGGAACTAGCTTGTGGGAGGCAGACATTTGTGCATTAGCACTTACCATACAGTTTGGCAAGTGCCAGAGTCGGAAAACTACAGGACATTGTGGGAGCACACAGGCAGAGTCGGAGGCTTCCTCCTAAGGGGACAGCAAATGTGAACGACAGAGACAAGAGAGGACATGATTTTAGAAAACTGAAAATAAATTCAGCACGACTAGACTGCAGAGGTTAACTGGGCAAACTGTAACAGAAATGACTGGAAAAAAATCACTGTGCCAGATCTTTTTTTATCATCATGTAGCTAGGCAAATAGTTATCGAGCATCTGCCTTGTGTCCCCAGGATACATTAATGAGCAAAATGCCAGCCCGGTTCCTGCCCTCAGAGATTTCTGGAGGTCAGAAACGTGTTGAGTATTATCACAGGACAGCAAACAATGTTCCTGCAATACACGGCCAATCCCAAACCTAGTTTAAGGGGTGAGCGAGTATCTCACAGGAAAACTGGCAAATAACCCAACCTTAAAGAGTGAGCCAGATGTCGCCAGATAACGGGAACAAGGAGTAAGAAGTCAAAAGACGAAAGAAATATCCAGAGCCTTCTGAACCATGTTAAAGAGTTTAGGTTTCAACGTAAGAGTTTCAGGATTTTAAGGAAAGGTATTATACCCTCAAATTTTCCTTTGGGCAAGAACTGTGATGCAGAGATTGGATTAGAGGGACAAGACCTTAGACAGAGAAACGAAAGATGGGGTGGTTGCATTGGTGCAAATGCAGAATGGCAGTACCCTGAACTAGGGCAGTGCAGTGGGTTGGTCAGACTGAAGAACTATCCAGTAGACAGAATCAACAGGACATATAACTAACAACCTGTGGACAGAAAGAAGAAAACCTAAGGGTTAAACTCACCCTGATTAAAGACAATGTCTTGGGCAAATGGCTGGACAATTCCAAAAGAGAAAACCAAAGTGATAAACTGGTCTGGAGAGGAAGACGGGTAGTTCAGTTTGATGCATGCTACTGTTGAGGTGTTTTGTTTTTGGTTTTGGTTTTTTGAGACATTCAAGTGAAGTTGCCCAGTGTTACACTGTAATTATTAAAAATAGGCATAATATGGACACCACCAATATTGAATTCTATTGCATCTCCAGGAAAAAAAAAAATTGTCCTGCTTTCTTGTGAGGTTCACCTATGTTAATCCATGCAGCTGTGGTTCATTACTTTTCACTACCGAATGTATTCCATTGTGTGTTGGGGGAGCAGCTATGTGTACATACATACATCTGTGTTGGTCTGAGTATTTGCTATTGAAATAAATAGTCTTATAAAAGACTCCTACATCTGTGGAGTCAAGCAATCACATATGGAAATTCCACAGATGAGCAAAGCTGACTGCACTGTGCCATTTTATTTAAGGGACTCGAGCATCTGCCAATTTTACTATCTGAGGAGGAGTCCTGGGATGAATCCCACACAAATACCAAGGGACGGACGACTGTACCCCCTTCATTGTGTGAATGCTTCTCTAGAGTCCACAAGTGGAATAGGTTGGGCCATTTAGTGTGTGTGTCTTCAACTTTGCTAAGTGTGGTCCAATTTTACTCCAAAGGCTGCGAATTTACCTCTTCATCTGAACTGTTTGAGAGCTCCCTTTGCTCCACACACTCAAAAATTGTTATTCTCAGAATTTAAAATTATTCGTCAATTTGGTATGTAAGAAATAATGGTTTTAATACACATTTTTCTGATTACCTCTGTCAAACAGTATCTTGCAAAGTTAAAATTTAATGCAAAAACCTGCAAGGGTATGATATCCACTAATCTCTTTTGCTAACAGGAGAAGAGTTGAACACATTATACACAATTCTACATTGCTTAACAGAGAAAATTTAGGTGCTTGTGCACCTGATGCAAGAGACTAAGAATTGGACATTCTGTAGGATCAAGTCTTGGAGACTGTTGCTTCCATTTCATGGATAAATTTTTTTGGTCTAGAATTCTACAAAAGTATTTTAGAAATATAAAATAAGATTACTTATCTGTACACCTATTCTGTGTGTGGGTCAAATTCTGAAAAATATTAGCCAAAGCAAGAGAAATCTACATAACATGAAAATTTGGCATCAATGTTCACAGAACTACTTTCTTTTAAAAAAAAACTGCATCTAATAAGTAGGGGGTTTTGTCTATTTGTTTATTTTCTTGAATCATTTGGATTATTCTCACAGGTCATCCTCTTCTTTTTCTGCCTAGAGAAAAGGAGTCTGATGACCTAAATGTAAAGCTCTCTCTTTCTCTCTGTTCGCAGGTGGACTATTCATTTTGAAAAATAACCACATGCTTTGGTTTGTGCACTAACACAGTGCACATACATAGTTAATCTAAGTTCTTTAGGTTTATGAAATAACTCTGTTGACAGGCCTAACATGGGATTCTTCTCAACACCAACCCTCAGCTTCAGGTGCTCTTGGGTTCACTTTTTCTTATTAACAAATCTCCCCCAGGTGCCCAACATTCACATGCTAATGGATAGCTACTCTACAAGAATATTCTCTACAGCTTGACACCTATATATATGGTATATTTAAACGTATAGTATGTCCGTACTAAAGGTTGTCCAGTGAAATACAGGTATGTAAGTATACTTTATTATTCCTATTTTCTATATTCTACATTTTCCAGTATTGCTATATTCCATACATGCTGCATGCTATTCAGTTGAGCAGTCCTCCTTATAAATATTTTACCAGCAAGATGAGCTTCCTATGTAACTCTGTTATAAATTTCCTATGCACCATTGATCGGGTAAGTATCCCCCGAGCTTATTCGTAAAAAACCTACCACCTCTTCAGATGTTTACAATGTTTAAAACGATGCCAACAACTTTTCCTATGTGAAAACTGGAATAATCCCCAAACCAGCCTGGGCTTTGCTCGGGAATCACATCAAAATTGACATAGTTGTCAACTCTCACCACTCAGAGAGGATGCTTTGGAGAGCAAAGCCAGCCAGACTAGCTGCTGCCACTTAACCACTCAGCTGACCATTAAACCAAGGGCTGGAGCTCTGACAGTGTCCCTGACAAACTTTTTCTTACTTGAAATCCAATACATTTATTTATATTATACTTCCAGGTAATGTGTGTGAACACACACAGGCACACACCAGTTTTTCCCACTCATTTTTTCAGGACTGTTTATTCAGGTAATTTGAAGCAAACAAAACCTCTGCTAACTGGTTCTCCAAGCCAAGCTAGTTCTACCGCTGCTTGATTCCCAAACTAAATTCAGTTATAAATACAGCTTATGTTATTTTACATTTTTTTATACTGATTAAAAATTTACATTTTCAGGTTCTTTTACACCATGTTCTGATCATGTAATTCTCCTGACACACACAGGAACTCTGTCTCTACTTGCAGCCCCAGATAACTCATGTCTGCAAATAGCGTACTGGCCGTACTGCACAAACCATATTCAAATTTAGATTTTAAAGATGGAGATACACATGGCACCATGGTCCTACACGTCAATAAATGATACTCATCAACTGAAGAAAATGAACCTCAAGAATGAACTATATCTGCATGGCAGAAAACTCTGGTTAGAGTTCATTTTAGGAGAAAAACATGAAGACAATATGTCATATTGTCAACCATGGAAAATGTTGAAGAAAACACTCATTTGTTGTCACCTATTTTAAAACTGTACTGCTATAGAGATTAGCATGCCATGCAGATTTCATGAACCTCTGTATTTTATGTTTGTTTTTTTTTTAAGTACTGGAGGGTGTTTTCAAAATTAAACCCAAAAGAACAACTAGGAAAACATGTTTGGCCTTGTAGTATAATTTGGTTCATTGTGTTAATGCAGTGATATATACAATGATCAAATTGAAACAAATATAATGAGAAAGGGATGGGGGAGAGCATTATATATTACCATATATAGTCATACATCTATATTAGATGCTTATCATTTCTTAATGCCGTTAATCCTGGACAAGGAAACTGTGTTGGAGTTAGTATAATGCTGGCATAGATTAATCCACTTTTATTTTGTTTCTCTTTACAGATGCATCCTGGCATCTAGCAAAGCAAGGTTTTGCCCAGGAAACCTTACACAGACACATACGAGGTCTCTTTCTGCAAAGGTTTTTGCTTGAGCAGCACGACCCCCAATTCTCTTTTTAATTCAGTCCAGGATCTTTGCCATTGAAGCCTTTCCTCTGGTAATTTAACACTGGCCTTCTCTGTGCTTGTGCTTTAATGGTATTTAACAGTAATAGAAATAAGAATTTTTTTAATTATTTTTTCTTGTAAAAAAATTTTTAGTTAAAATTTCCTTCTTTTATACACAAAGATGGAGAAAGTTTCAGTGACTGCACTAAAATGACCTGATCAGAGCCCACTTTTCTTTTTTGCATCCAATCCTTGTCTCATAATGTGCTGCTGTTTGTCTTTAAATAGAGCATGCCTTCCCAACCCCAGCTTCCTTCTTCAGTTTAATAAAGGCCCACCAAATCAGTCCTTCTTTTACTAAGTTCATATGCAATTGTAAGCACCTCATCAACAAATGTTCTGCTCAGCAAGATTGGAATATTGTCCCGTTTCATGTGCTCATTGTGTGAGATGGATTACTGACAAAGTTGATCATCACAATTGTAACTGTTTCACATACAGTATGAGAAAAGCCACACGTTAAATTCCTGAACCCCTAAATGAAACTCAAGCCCCTCTGAGTAAATTCAAGAGTTACAATATTGGCTTGGAGCATGTGAA